TGCTGAAGTCCTTGGAACAGTAACGAGCAATGCTGCAGAGAGAAGGTAGCATCGTGATTAAAAAGCTATCTTTGTGCACTTAGTTTCATCTAACTCCAGTTCAGCATGGTCCAGTTGATGCTTTTTGTCCGTAGGACAGTGTTTGAAAGAGCTATTCTTGGTGAAAGTGCTTCATGTGGTGTCCAAGGGAGTGAGTGCAGACAGATGGGGGTATTCCTTTCCTTCTGCTTGTTCTTCCCCCCAAATTCTATTTTTGTCATAGTTGAGAAACCATAGGTTGTGTGTTTGGTTTTTTTAAGTTTAACAAATATCACTGGATACCAAACGGCAAGTGATAAGGGACTGCCTGCTCTTTTCACAAGTGTATTGTAACGTGGAATTATTTACTGACAGTGCTTGAAGCTCTCATTGAAAAAAACATTTTTGGCAGCAGGCCTTGAATGCATGGTGAAACGAGTTTGTCTAAAAGCACGGGTTGGCTAATGCATCCTGTGCTTTAGCTGTTGGGATTTGTAGTGTCAGATATCTCAATGTAGAAATGCCATGAAACCGGACATCTAAGTAGACTAAGCTTGATGCAGCTAAGACAAAGCAGTGAACGTGAAGTGCCTTGTTGCTACTTGTGGCCCCATTTTGTCTTTTGCTTCTGTAACTTGCTCTCTTCATACTGCTCATCCCCGTACCTGCATTTCATAACGTGCTTCATTTGACTAACCTCTGTTTTGTTGAGCCAAGTACTTTTTGGAGCCTCCTTTGCTCCTGCATTTGGAATAAGCGGAGGAATTTTAAATTGAGAGTCCTAACATATGAGTGGAAGCAAGGTAATCTTTTTGGTGAAGGGCTCCTGTTCTTTGGGAATTTGTGTCCCTCCCCCTTTGGCTTTTTTGTTGAAGTGCTTTTGGAGTTGGAAGCACTGATACTGCCAGTCGTTCCATTTATTCTTGATACTCTCTACAGCTTAGTAAAAGGTAGATCTGAGAATTTGTCTAAATGGAGTGTCCTGTTTCACAACGCAGACCCCAAACAATTAAATGTTTCATTTGCAGCCAACATGAACAGAATCTTTTCAAATGGAAAGCTTTCTTGGCTTTCAGTTTACTTTGCTGCAGTGTTTGGAGCCCAGACTTTGCAGCATTGTGTATGAGAACCAGTGAATGATGTTGACAAGTGTGTTTTCATTGTCCAAGCTTGAATGGTGAGAATTAAACTGTATTGTTAAATGTTGTATTATCCCAAGATGGAAATGTTTAAGCCTGCTTGTGCGTAGTCAGATATTGTACACTTTCGGATATTCCTTTACTCATTGATTTTTATTTCTTCTTCCTTTCCAGGTGGCTATGGTAGAGGTGCAGATAGAGTCCAATACCGCCTACCCTGCAGGTCTCTTGATTGCTTTCAGTGCGTGTACTACTGTGCTTGTTGCAGTTCATCTTTTCGCCCTCATGATAAGTACCTGCATCCTTCCAAACATAGAGGCTGTGAGCAATGTGCATAACCTCAACTCTGTAAAGGAGTCCCCTCACGAGCGCATGCACCGGCACATTGAGCTCGCCTGGGCGTTCTCCACAGTCATCGGCACTCTGCTTTTTCTGGCAGAGGTGGTGCTGCTGTGTTGGGTGAAATTTCTTCCGCTCCAGAACCCTGTTGTTCCAGTCCCTAACACCACTTACACCATGACCCCTGGAAAGGCAGCAGCCATTGCCTCGACATCCATCATGGTTCCTTTTGGATTAGTTTTCATAATATTTGCGGTCCACTTCTATCGGTCGTTGGTGAGCCACAAAACAGACAGGCAGTTCCAAGAACTGAATGAACTTGCAGAGTTTGCACGGCTTCAGGATCAGCTGGATCACAGAGGCGACACCATGCCACCTCCTGGCAGTCATTTTGCATAAAACCTGTACTATTATTTTTTTTTTTTTTTATTTTTTTTTTAATCTGCTTCTCAGCTTCTGCCCTGCTATGTTGACTCCCCCATGCATGAATTGCCTGTACTGTCTATTCAAAGAGAGATTTAGAAGCACTGTTCGGTTTTCACAGAAAGCACCAAACATTGCACTGTCCCTGTCAGCTATCCAGAAATGCTATGACATGTAGAGGGCTGGGTGCTGAGGCATGGCCATATTGAGCATGCTTTTCTCATCCCTCCTCCTGTTGGATTATTTAACATCAGAACGAAACAGTGGCTATGTAAATGTGTCAGGAAAATTTAAATTCTAAGTCTTGGTGTTTGATGGGGTGGGTCAGAAAGCCTGATTTCTCCCTGCATATGATGTTGGTGTTTGCTAGAAAGTAGTGCTCGTCCAATACATGTTGCATGGCAAGATACAAATTACTTGGGACATGCAGTAGTTAGCACACTGCTTCAGTGCTAGTGCTGAGCTTGCTAAAAG